TTTCACCTTTTTAAACCTTGATTCTAGGTAGACTATATCATGCAAGATTAGAAAAATTGAACCATCATGTGGTCATTTCAGCAGGATGCAAAATATGGGCTACAAAGCCTTTAAAAGCTTATTGAGGTCATATCAACAAGAACTAGGACTCATGCTAAGAGGCTCCTTAATTCTACTATTGCTCCCTTTTAAGGGCTTTACAGAAAAATCTAGACAATTTAACCCGTAGAGGTGTCTGTTTTTGTCTGACCAACACTCTCTGAACAACAAAGTATATTTTTCTGTTTGATAACATAACGAGCCATTTTCCCCTTTGGCAAGAACACAAGACTTTGTGGTACATGAATATCTTCCTATAAAATTATCACAGGAAAAAATATGAGTACTTACCGTTAAGGATCCAATTATAGAACAAACGCCAATATAAACCATTATATTTGTCTGCCCATAGCGTGGTTCACAATACAACACCAGTACCAATGTCACTGCCACTGCTGAGGCTGTATACAAAAGAAAAGCTGAACCAAGAAAAAAGGTAAATATCAACAAACAGTATTACATTCTTCGGGTCTATGCATATGATCCCAAGAGACAGTATCATAAAGCATCTATCAAAGTATAAATGTTCACCTGGCTGTATTGCTAATACCCAGATTTCTTCCACGGAACTAAGACTATGTTCACCAGGCGCGTGAAGCACAATTATGGTAGAACCCACTATACATAAAATGCATCCCAATATTCCTAACTTCCGCAATTTCTCTTTCAATAAAAAATGAGCTAAAACAGCACTGTCAGTAATAGAAGAAAGATGTTAGCGATACTTATGATTAGTTATGAAGCATAAGACTAAGTTCTGATAGGTGACCTTTTTCTTGTTTTAACATTGTCCCTTTTATTGAGAGGAGGGAAAAGGGAAAGAAAGGAGACTTCTATATACATTTACCTGACAATTATACTTAATGCTCCAAGAGGTGTAACAAGAACAGCAGGAGCATAAACGTAAGCTACAAAATTGGCAAATTCTCCAATGATCACTGCAAAATTTTGTAGAAAAACTCTACTTCAGATTATAGGATGAAATAATACCCAGAAATGTATAATTTAGGAATCTGAGAAAGGCAAAACTTACTGGTTACCATGCCAATCCACCAAAGCGGCTCTAGCAAATATCTATATCCTCCCGAACCTTCATTTAATGAGAAAAAGAGTAGAATTGGAAACAAAATCTAGATATTGAAATTAGATCATCTATATGTCAAACAGTCATCACTTCTAAGTTCAATAAACCCCATTCCTTTTCAACAAGAAACTCTTAAATTATTTGCAATTCTCGCAGTTACATTACATCTGATAAGAAGGTATGAACTAAAGCAGGGTGATTAATTTTTGCAACTAATACTTCCATACCACCATTTCCCCTACTTTTCATATGCCTTTACTTCATTGGCAAAAACATCATTTGATATAGTTTCCACTCTGCCAAGACACTACATATCCGTTTTGGAAAGATTTACTTTTTCTTGCCTCCTTCATACCACCGGTAAACTGTGATAATTGACATACCAACTAAAACCACGTGCTCAAATACCCGAGTCTTTTCCCTCGTTTAATAATCAAGAACTTTGTATTCTATCCTCTTTTCATATTTTAATCATTATGGTTCCCAATTCCAGTACTCCTGAGTATAATTTGCTAGCTGGAAACTTTTACATTTATTTACGCAGACTTCAAGCAAAAAAATCTTACTTTTTCTCTAAAAAATACAACTAGCAGTGTAAAATAGAAGCGATTTTTTTACCAAAAAAAGAAACAACACAAAGCCTTTCAGAATAGGTACAAATCTTCACAGCTATAACAACAGTTCAAGCTTCAAAATTTACAAAACAAGAAAAATAAATTCAATAAAAAAGAACACTTACTGGCACGAGAGCCGGAGGCACCAGCTCTCTGTAAGCCCTTTTTCTTGATGATGAAACTGGATCCGATGAAAGCGCTCGACCCAAAAGCCAACACGAACCCTATCAAATTAGCTGTATACATGACCCGACCCGATCCAAGCGATATCAAATCCTGGGATTTTGCTCCAATAGTAATATCTGATTAGTATCAAGGGACAAGGGGAATTCAAATATCATCTGCAGCTCAATTTATACTAAATTCCAAAACTCAAAATCATATAGACAAATATGATTCTCTGTGCGTACATTTATGGAAAATTTGAAACCCTATTGGCAAAAATATGTATGCATATGAATTCGCTGCAGTGTTTAATTGGTTGTGCGTCATGTGGTGTTGAGTGGGGTCGTTTAGGGAATTTGGAACCGGACGTAATTTCCTGTAAAGTACATTCCTCTCCAAAGTCTGCGTTTGTTTGGGTGGCAATGGGTCAAATTGAGCCTTTTGACCCATCTCGATGCTTAGACACCGGGCTCGATTCAACGAGGCTCCAAAGAAGAGTTGAGTCAAGCTTGGCTTGTGTTCACAAACAAAGCTCAACCATTTGGCTCGTATGGGCAAGAGTAGAACCCGAGCAGGCCACAATCCTAGATGTGTGTTTAAGAAATTAACGAAAAAGCCAAAAAACAAGCTTAAGATGAGCCAGCTCGTTGGCACAAGTCAAGCCCATGAGCGACTCGACCCATTTGCCTCCCTCTAATTTTATCTGGCACTTCTTACGAAGATGAATCATTTAGATTAATGAAAATGAGGAAATTACATTCACACATAATTTTTAAGTTTCCAATTCAAAAATAAGATTGAAAGAATTTTTGTTCAAAAATTAGATGATAATTATCTTTTAAATATTATTAATATTATAAAATTATATTTATCTACACACCCACCCCAAATCCACCCAATCCCAATCCGTCCATCCCATTCCAAATTTTATAGGGAAATTATTGAAAATACCCAAAATTTGGCGATAGCCTTTCCAAATTATCCATTTTCACTATTCAACTATATAAACTACCTAAAATACACATAAAAACAATAATTGCACCCAAAGCAATCAATATAAGAAAATAATACAATCA